ATTTTTGCACTTGGCTTTTAGGATCACACATTCCCTAGACAGTTCTTCCTTCTTATTGTTAATTATCTCAGACTCATCAATGAAGTCTAGCAGTAGCTCAGATAACCTTTCTTTGGACAGGAATTTAATCTTGTCTTTGAGATGAAGAATACTTACCTCTTGTTCATCATCTGATTCTCCGATGGCCATAAGTGTGTGTTCATCTCCAGCTTCATCTTCTTAGTCCTCATCTGATGTTTCTCCCCAGGCAGCAACCATAGCCTTTGTTGATCCTTTGTTCCTTTTTGGTTGAACCTGTTCCTTCTTCCTGTTCCATCGTTCAGCCCTTTCCTTCTTCCACTCAATTTCCCATTGAGGACAATTCTTGATCATGTGATCAGTCTTAACACATTTGTAGCAACCCTCATTGGTCTGTTTCTCAGGAGCCCTTGGTTTGTTGAAGGTTGTACCTTTTGAAGAACCCTTTCCTCTCATCAGGTACTTTTTGAAATCTCTTGTGATCATAGCCATTTCCTCATCCTCCAGATCTGAACCTTCAATTCTAAGAGCCAGACTTCTTTCCTTCTTGGGTGCATCCATTTTCATGATTTGCCTTCTCAGTTCATAGGCAGTAAGGTTTCCAATTAGTTCATCCAGCTTGAGGGTAGCAATATTCTTTGATTCCTGAATAGCAGTGATTTTGCTTTCCCAAGAGACTGGCAGAACCCTTGTTAAAATCTTCTCAACTTTGTCTTCTTCAAGGATAATCCTTCCAAGAGACTTAAGTTCATTTGTTAGTGTGGTGAACCTTGTATACATCTCTTGGATGGTTTCTCCTTCCTTCATGGTGAAATTCTCATATTGAGAATACAGCAGTGTTCCTCTGGACCTCTTCACTTGAGGTGTTCCTTCATGAGCCACTTGCAAAGTGTCCCAGATTTCCTTAGCAGTGGTACAGCTTTGAATTCTACTATACTCATCTGGACCTAGTCCACACATAAGCCATTTCTTAGTCTTGGCATTCTTTTCCCACTTCTTCAGGTCTTCAGCAGTGCAGTTAGCTCTTGCCTTTGGCATATCCACTCCTTCAGCATTCTTCTTTGTAGTTGCTAGAGGACCATCAGTGACTATGTCCCAGAGTTCATAGTCTTCTCCTATGATGTGATCCCTCATCCTGTTCTTCCACCACGAATAGTACTGACCATTGAAAAGTGGAGGCCTAGCAGTGGATTGCCCTTCCTAGTTCCCAGGTGGTGCACTCATGTTGATCTTTTCCTAAGGTGTTAGCCTCTTCAAGGATAATCCGCTCTGATACCAATTGATATTCTAAACGTCAATACCACACAAGAGGGGGGTGATTTGTGTGGTACCCAATTTTCACTCTAGAAGAACCTGGTTCTTCTAGGTGTTCTAACTACTACTGTTTGCGGAATGATAAGTACATAAAATAAAGAACACACAGATTTTTACGTGGAAAATACCTGGCTCAAAAGTTGAAAAAACCACGACCTACTACTCAGTAGGATTTTCCCAAACTTCCACTAATATCACTGAGCCAAAACAGCATTTACAAAAACTCTTTGTAAACCTAAGGATTAACTCTAATCCAGTTGTAGCACACAGCCTCAACTGTTGCGACAACTTCAAGTTAGCTTATAACTTGAACACTCTAAGTACCTAATACAATTGCTTCTATGAAAGCTGAAAGGTACAACTTTAAACCACCTACTACAATTGAACTAGAATAAAAGAAAGACACAATGAAATTGGTTCTTCTATCTCGTTCAAGTAGCTTCAGGAGTGCACACTCAAATCTCACATAAATTGCTTGCAAAATCGCCTTGCTCTTTTGCTCACAATTTAGTTTAACTTCTGCGATTGTGCAATACCTGTAAAAGAGAACAATCACTGTCTTTTAATAGGTTAGTAATCAGAGTTTGATTGGAACTCAATTGCTGATCTTCTATCGTAGTTGAGTCCTTGAAGATCTCAAACTCCAACACTATCTTTATTCGGATTGTGTTCTCTTCATATAAGGAGACTTTCTCCCCTTATCCAATATGCAACCTTTTCGATCAGATCAGGAGATATTGTTGCTTGATTAGTAGGACTTATCTCCTTCACGTGCATCTCTCATGTGTAGGTTGATCATGACTGTGCTTCACAAGATGGACCTGGTCCATAACTGAGTTCATTTGTCATTCTTCAAAACTTCACCTGTTCTTGGGCCAACAATAATATTTGCAGGGATAGTTGAAATTGATCCACGTTGCTAAGATTCAAAATACAGCTGATTCATAGGTTTCATGTGGAGTTTCAGACAATAATTTCACTCCTTCCGATTGAATTTCAATGGGAAAAGAAACTTTATCGCCCTTTCCAACGCCCTTTCCAAGTATTTTTCATCGCTATGGCAAGCCAATTTTCTCTTCATCCTTTCCTCCACTATCCACTAATTGCTTGTAAGGAAAAAACTTGAAAGAAGTGATTGTGTTACAATTGAAAAGAATAAACAAGTGAAAACTTAATAGAATTTTGAGAGAGATGATATTATCGCAATGAAATGTTGATTGAAGATACATGAAAGAATCTCTAAGAAATAATTTGGTCCCTCAAAAGGTGAGATTTGTTTAATGACATATAATGTTATTAAAATTTTATAAAGTAAATTGTAAAGCACGTATACAGGGAATATTTTAAATGTATATGAAATTAACTGGTGTTCTCAATGGGTATACCATGTTTCTCTTATCCAGAAGATGCAAGATTTTTCAAAAAGGTTTTAGTCGAGCCGGAAGCCCAGCAATTAGGAATGGCAAGCGATGCGTGTTCTGTCTTAACCCGCAAATTTTCAACCCGCCCCGCGCCGCTTAATTTTTTTTAAATTAAATTTTGTTAGCTTTTGGACCAAGTCTCTTCACCAAGAAATTAAATACGATTGACGCAAAGTAACATCCTTTTGTGTTCTGATACAGTTGAAAATGAAATTAAGTTCAAAATACCCATGTTCTTGGACTCTTATGCATTAAACTACAAGAGAGATGATAAGATTATCTAAATACTAATAACCAACGAAGATTTCAAACATTTTGGATAATTGAATTGGAAGGACAGAACAAATTTTAATTCCTTTAACATAAATATGTAGTATTAATAGCAGAAGGAAGCATGCACTTCCATATGTACATGGAAAAATTCTTGTGAAACCAGAAACTCCAGCAAACTCCCTATTTAAGTTTCTTTTATTTTATTTGAAAAATAGAAGTCTAAAAACGAAGAGGAAGGAAGAATATATACCAAGACGGAGGAAAATTATTTACTTTTCATTGCTTGATTTGGGTGTAACAAGAAAAAGAAATGGGATGTTTAGAAACTAAAATAATACTTAAAAGATTGGATTAAAAAGCTTCAGTAAAAGTAAATTGATTTAGAGTTCTTTATACGGAAAAGGGTCAAATATATCCCTCTACTTTTATTTATTGTTCAATCCTATCCTCCACTATACTATCCGTTCAAATATACCCTTGCCGTCCAACAAAATTTTATATTTACCCCTATTTTAACGGACATAACAGCGGCATCGTCTGAGTAAAAGAACCAACCCAACAATTAAAAAGACACAACCGAACTAAAACCCATGACACACCCGACCAGTGTCCCAATCAGACCCCCTCCCCCTCCCCCTCCACCACCCTTGCGCCTTCAAACCTCTCATTGTCTTCACCACAAGCCAATTCGATTACTGAAACCACATACCAGCAGCTGAAAAAAGCCCTAGCCGCCGAGAAATCAAAGGCTGGAAAAAAAAGCTCCCCAAGGACGCCGCTGCCACAGGAGACAAGAAGAAGAAGAGGGCAAAGAAGTCAATTGGACTTACAAGATCTACATTTTCAAGGTGCTTAAACAGGTTGATCCTGATATGGATATAACGACATCTTCGAGAAGCTTACTCAGGAATGCGTTCTAAAAAATTTCTGCTTGATAGTTGAAGCTTTACTATACAACGAAAAGCCTATAATTCTTCTTAGGAGATTTTTTTTTATCATTTTTCTATTGCAAAGATTGTAACTATCGTTGCTAGTGAGACTTTTTGGATAGGGTGTGAGGGTTGAGTCCTTTATTTCTTTTTGGATTTTTATAGTTTGCTTTATGACATAGACACACGTTAGTTGTTTCTTTGTACATAGGGAGATTAATGTGAATAAGAGTATTCCTCTTAAATTCAGATGGTGTCAACTATATGCAGGTGGAGATTGTGCTATGAGGTTTTAGGAGATTAATATTGGTTATTGAGATGGAAAAGAGGAAATAGTTGTGGAAGACGAAACCTTCCAATAAGAGGACTGATGAAACGGAGAGTTCTGGTTCTTTATCTTCGGATTCAGAGAGATAATATGTTAAGCAGGTAAAGAAAAAAAAAGTGAAGATTTTTTGGTCTTTCAGTCGTGCGGGTCATGGGTTTTAGTGCAGTTGGGTTTTGTGTTGTTGGGTTGGGGTTTTTGTTCAGATAACGCCACATGTCATATCCGTTAAAATAGACGTAAATATAAAACTTTGTTGGACGGCAGGGTATATGTGAACGGATAGTATAACGGAGGATAGGATTGAACAATAAACAAAAGTAGAGGGATATATTTAACTTTGTTGGACGCCAGGAATATATGTGAACGGATAGTATAACATAGGGTAAGATTGAACAATAAACAAAAGTAGGGAGATATATTTGACCCTTCTCCGTTCTTTATAATGTAGGACAAAACAACAAAATCAATGGGTTTAGAACAAGTTTGCTATGTTCCGAAGCAATAAGTAGTCAATTCATGACCAACCCGCAACCACCCCGCAACTGCCTAAATTTTAAATAACGTTTCAACCCGCACCCACAAAACTCAAACCCGCACCGCACCCTCATACATCCAAACCCGCCCGCACCGCACCGCCCCATTGCCATCCCTACCAGCAATACAAATGATTAATGTTCTCAAGAACTTCCGGCAGACCCAGGCACGCAAAAGACACAGTAGCCTAATTAACAGACCACTTATCACAACCCGAGAAAGGTAACATTAGGCATACAAATTCAAGACTAATTACATTCGACAAAAGAAAGCCACATGCAAAGATATCTACAGCTTCAGCAGCAAAACCTGAAATACATTTAAAGGAAACAAAACGATTGAATTTTCACTTCAGTTTTCCTCTTCAATATCTGTAAAACCCTCATCCAATTCACCAGAACCCAATCGTCTGTCAACCTGATCAACTATGTTCCCTGTGCTGAACTGCCATTTGCTAACCCTTCCAAGAGGCCTCTCGGAAAGTGACATCAAACCCCTTGTTGCAAAACCATTGGCTATGGTACCAACATCTATGGATCCAGAGTAAAGGCCCCGGCTTCCGGCACCCAACATATTTTGGGTCTGTTCACTACTGGACAGCACAGAAGGCAGTACATCAATTAGCTGTGTGCTGGGCTGATTAGAACCATTTATGAGCAACCGGAGTGTCTCCCTGGCATTTTTTTCAAGTACTGATTCCTTTTGTGGGATTAAAGGATTCACAATATTTGGGTGCAATGGTGGAAGAGTTCCAGATATAGCAAGTCCAGCACTTACTAAGTAGCCTTGGCCTGAAGAGCAAACATCAATAACTGGAATATGGACAATAGGATCACACATCAATGGTGTGAAAGAAGGAATCTGTTGCGAAGCTTGCAAAGATAGTGGCAACCTGATCAATGGGTCAGGCAGCAGAGGTGGCAAATCTAAAGTTGAGACATTGGTGACAGTAAGTGGCAGCTTTGTTGTCAAAATACTAGATGAACGAGCAGCTGCCATCGAAGAGAGCTGTGGTAGTGAGAACGACTCATTAGACAAAATAGGCAGATGCGGAGTTCCAACTGAGTATTGAGTGGACGCAGCAGGAGGGCACCAACAGTAATAAGGAGAGAAGACCGTTGAATCCAAAGAAGGGATAATAGCAGCAGAGCCTACAAAGGGAAGGTCAGCAACAAGTAGCTCCGAAGCAAGTGTAGGATTTGCTTCTTCTGGAAGCTTTTCGTCTTGTACGTGAACTGAACTAGGCACATCTACTCTGCCCGGTGTAGGAGTTTGTCTATCCAAACATGAATTGCTATCTCCACGGCGCCTTAGCCTGTCTTTAGCAATGCGTAGTGATGATGAGTTCCTGAGCAAGCTCTCTTTAAAAGAACTAGACCTAGGACTAAGGCTACCCAGGTTAAGAGGGCTGGATTTTGGTCCTTGAACACTATAATGCCGAGAGCGCTGAGGTTTTTGAAATGTAACTGATGTCTGAGCATCAAGACCATGTTCACATGAACCAATACGGCCATTCCCAGAAGGATTTGTTGCCGGCATTGAACTTGCTTGAGCGTTTGTGACTGCTGAACCAATGAGATAAGCTCGAAGACGTATGGCAAAACAGTCTATCCGGGATTCACTGATTCCAGTTAATTCAGCCAAGGAAGGTTTCTTCTTAAGCAAATCCCTCATCTATCCAAGCACAAAAAAAGGGAAATAATTATGTGACTAGCTTGCTACATATGTAAGTGCAAACAAAATTCAAAAGTTGATTGCAGTAATTGTGTGAAACAGTCTACCTTTCTTTTCAGCTCATTGCCAAGGAGCTTAGACTTTTCTGAGCACCAAAAATAGGAAGTCTCACCATCAGGAATGTTTATCAGGAAAGACCGCCCGGAATTGTCAGCCATAATATCTTTAATCTCCACGGCAGCACAATCAGATTGACAGAAGAATGTTGCCAGTCTCTCTGTGCTACCATCATCGCCAATGAATGAGATGCGCAACTCAGATGTGGGCAGAACTGTGAGGTTTAAGTTTCCCCTGTTGCAAAAAAGATATATAGAAATGTTTAGAAGAAGTCAGACTTCATCAAGTTACAGAATTATGTTAACTGTGAGCACATACAGCATAAAATTATCACTTGAGCATCCGATATCTAAATCTTTAGGAAGAGGTCCAAACCAAAATAACCTAGTATTACACCCTTCTTACTAAGGAACTCTCTAAGTTAGCTAGGAACAAATAGAACCTGTAGACAGCCAGATAATCTGCAATTCTTAAATGGTAACTGTCTTGAATTCTTCCAACAAACTGCATCCTTTCATCTTTTCTATTGTTTAATTTAAATAAATAAATAACAATTCTTATTAGCCCCAATGCAACATTGAAAGCATACATGTACTACCAATCATGTTCTCATACAAAAAAAGATTATCATTCAGGTGGGACTCACAATGTTTCTAAAAACAAAGACTGATCAAGTAAAAAACTCTACTAACTAGACCAAAAATACAGGCAAATAACACAGCTACAACTGCAAGAGAGGCTTTTCCCTATCCTATAATGAATACTTCTCTTTGTAACCCCTTTTTTGTGGGAAAAGGGGGGAAGAGGAGAAGCCAACCACACTGCCATTCACATAATTGTTACTGAATCAACATACTATATACCTAAATCACACAAATTAGTTTCGCAAAGATATGCAAAGCAAGAATCCATTTACTTCCTTAGACACACCAACAGAAGTAAGCAATTGCCTTGTTAACTAAATGTTATCTCAAAAGAGAGATTAAATTTTAAACAGCACATTGTTTGCATAACTTGAAAGCAAAAATAAAGCTATAGACAAACAACACCGCAGTAACATTTAAACAACAGAAATTAGTCAGCTCAACAATATTGAAACTTCAACAGATTTTGGATAGAAGGCAACCAAACCATGTCACAGAACACTCGGGAAGTACAAGACAGACATTTAGATAATTCAGATGGAAAGTAATTAAATCATGTATTATAGGAGCATGAAACTACCTTTACTTCTTCTTAATTCAGAATCATACTAGTATACGCCCACATAACCTACAAGTGAAAAGATATATTCATTTGGAAGCATGAACAATTGCCACCATTATTATTAAACAATACAGCATCCTGCACTTCTACTCATAAACAACTTAAGGCATACAACAGAAATACCAGACTAAGCATATTATTATTCAATTAAGAACAGAGGTATCTTACAATTTATCAAAAAAATGACCAAGAAAAAAATATTTTGGACATTCTGGAATAAAAATATTCTGAAGGAAGCAAAGGTAAGACATAGACAACATATACTAGAACATCACCCACTAACAGGTTCAAACACCCTTCTGCGAATTTATCTTAAGAGATGGAATACTCTCAAAGATAACCGAACAAAGAATTATTTTTCTATTTGCTTCAAAACAAATTAACAAATGTACACATTACACCAACCTTCATGGTGTCTCCACATGTCAATATGCACCTCCTAGCTATGAATACTCTCAAATCAAGACGCAGGGGTTAAAGATAATATCCAGCATTCAGTACCGATCAAAAGATGGTTAAGATGTGTCTGCAATTCATGTACAATATACTCAAAATGTGAACCCTAAACAAGTTTAAGGATCGTAAAGAAGAGTTTCCCTACTAAAATCTAACATTGAACAAGTTTACTTACATCTTATTATGGAACTAACAATACAAGAACAACATTATTCGGTAAATTTCAGGCACCACACTTTCAATAACAAAAAAATAGGCAGCAGTCGAAAAAGGAAAGAGGAGGTGGTACATAATGCAGTATTTCTTTCTCCTGTTAGTAATAGCCAGGACACATTATGAGGCAGTAAAATATTAAAATGTGTGTGTGTATATATATATACTCACTCCGTTCCAGTTTACGTGAACCTATTTCCTTTTTGGTCCGTTCCAAAAAAAATGACCCCTTTCTAAATTTGGAAACAATTTAGCTTACACTTACAACTCTAACCTTAATGAGAAGCTTTTATAACCACACAAATACTTTGTACCACTTTTTGACTTGTTTATGACCACACATTCAAAAAGTCTTCATTTTTTCTTAAACTCCGTGCCCAGTCATATAGGTTCACATAAATTGGAACGGAGGGAATGTGTGTGTGCACACACACTCCCCCATTCCAATTTATGTGAACCTATATAGAACAGGTTTCCATTTCTCAATTATAGCAAGAACATGAAAGGGAAAATTACATAAACTTCAGAATTCTCATCCTCTTAGTTACCCATCAGTCCACACTTAATTATAACAGCGCTCTTGTTTACTGCTGAAATAATTAATAAATTTTCAACCTGGACAGATGGCAATTCAACTGAAAAACTAGACATCTGCATGCCACCCCTCGAATGGAAGGCAGGTAAATAAGTACCAGATTCAAATACTATTTAATTAATCAAATTATAAGTGGATAATATATATAATAGTATTTTCAGTAGGTAACTAATCCAGATGTCATATTAACCTAGGCAGGTTTGCTTTTATATCACTCCTTCCCATGCCAATAGGTATGGTGTAAGCATTCGGCACTAGTACTAAGTGTCGGGTGTTTTGCCTGGATGTGTTTCCTAGCATGTCACAAAAAAGGATAAAACAAAAAAGACCAGCTGAATGCCACTCTTTTTTCCAGAACAGATACATTGCTAAGATGCAATGTTGGTAAAGAAATCATACTAGCTTTAACTTTCAGGACAGTCTGTTATGGAGAAAGAAGTGGACATAAAGAACAGTATACAAGGTCAACCACTCCATTGAGATAGAGCTGATTTAACTCACGTTAAAAGTTACTACATCAGAACACAAAACATTAACTATCAAAGTGGATGGATATTAGATCCAATATCCAAACGGCATCAATTAGTATAGAAGGCACAGTTCACGCTAACTACCTTGTGGCGGTCGGGCACAAGAGGGTTCCCTCCTTCTTGATCTTCCCAACGCGTATTGAAACAAGTGGAATGCACAAGCACCTTACTAGCATACCGACTTCTGCCGGTTCAAAATGCTGCCAAGAAAAAAAAGGACGGTCAGCATAGTTACCCCAAAAGATGAATCTCTAACACGGATAATACATAAAAATGAAATCTGATACAAAACCTAAACCGAACTCCAGATATATTACTTTATTATGGAGGAATCATTCAAAAAGGTTGTATGCTTTCTCAATGAAATTAAGCAGATATTCGGCAAATGATATGTAGATTGGAATATAGTAGATTCGGGAACAGCACCTGACTAAGTTGAGAGAATAAGCCGTCTTCGGCAGCACCAGAGGCAACATTCATCTTCAACAAAGGCTTTAACCTTTCATCGGCACGGCAAGCCCCCATGACCTGCATATCCAGAGCCTGAAGCCACTGCATTACATTATTCTCTCGATCGCTCCGCTGAAGCAATAGATCTCCATCTCCTTCCTCCACAAGAATCTCCGTCAACCTCACCGTCAGTCCTGACGTTGATGTGCTTACCACCGCCGATGTCGAAGATGACGATTCCTCCAATTCCTCGCCATTATGCGATTGCTCAACCTCATTCACCTCCCGATTGTCCATAGATTGTTGTTTCTCTGAATAAACCATTTTATATCTCAGTTTCCTAGATGACTTTTTATAAGAGATTAAATTTTGTGAGAGAAGATCAGAAACTTGATTCGAGAATCCGATGTTAAGCCTGAGGAAATTTTCAATTCGAAACCCTAATTTATCTCAGATCGATGAAAGAATCAACAAATTCAATCCAGGAGAGCGAAAATATCTCCCAACAACTAGGTCTTATAAGCTACAAATAAGGATCCAAAGGGATAATGCAAACTTTAAAATAAGGTGGACGGAGTCTGGGTCCTTACGGACTTCAAATGTTGTAATGAGATGTAATTTAGGGTTGAGCTGAGGTCCGCGGGCAATCATAGAATCATGCACGTCACGATTACATCGTAGTGGGTCCGGGTGTGGGACCAAAGTCGGTGATGATGTAGACTGCCACGTCAGCTCCACGGTGATTGCAAGATTGCTCTTGCTTAGATAGATAAAGTAAGTGTATTAAGATTAACCTAAGAGGAAAGAAGTGGGGCTACATTAACCAGAATTGGCCAATTCATGTCGATTTCATTCATTTTTATAGCAAAATCGCGGTATCATAATCTAGTGTTGACTACTGTAAGTAGAATTTTATGTTTTTATTTTAAGAATAAAATAATTATGCGGGTAATATCGATCGCCTTGGATACTGGTTTAAGGTTTAACATTTTTATATTTATACTAGTCTTAGGGTAGCTCACAAAGCGCGTATCCTATACAAGTGAATATACGATCTTAAAAAAATAAGTAATTATTATCAAATAATGTGTTGAGCTATTGAACAAAAATTAAAAAAAAATATAACTTCCTAAAACTGATAAATGTTGATGTTTACCCTAAAATCCGAGTAACAATTAAACTTGTATTGTGGTTTTAAAGATACGTGATTTAATCCAATACTAATTGATAAACAAGGAATCTAATGTATAAATTAAAGAGTAAAGTAAGTCAAACCAACGTATAAGCAGACCTCGACCTTGAACAATGGCGACCTCGAGGTAGGTGGATAAGAACAATAAAATAACAAGGCAAGTCAGATGAACAGTAAGCAAGAAAGTGAAATATGTATATTCTCTTCTCAATGATTGATACGTTACAAATGATTGGGGTCTCCTTTATATAGTAGGGGAATCCTAAATAAGGTACACTTTCAATTGTAGTAAGGAATCTTATTATATAGCTGTCTAACCGCCTAGTACAAATTCGTTCCGGAATTTACGCCGTGATCTTAGAGCCACTGCGGGAATCTCGCTCTTTTCGTTATTAAAGCATAATGGTATTATCTCGAGGTTGGTCGCACGTGGCCTCAGTGTTCATCAAGCACTCTAATCTTCGAATCTTGTACTTCGCCATCGGGCTCGCGCCCAGTCCATTTCGAACTTGTTCTCGAAGTGACCCTTGAGCCCACGGAATCGGGCATACCTGATTTCGATCGTATACAGATAGTCCCCGCGTTTCTTAGAGTAAGATGATAAGAAACGAATTGATCCTCGATCCTCTGATGCCTCGATCATGATGTCAATCACGTGATGTCAGCAATAGAAGTGATTGAAAGGTCGCGTCTGCATAGTTCCCAAGGCCATTAATTGAAGGCGGTTGATGGTCGGCCATTTGCTTCCCCAAACCATTGAAGCGACCACTATAAATAGGTCAATTTCACAACCTTTACAAACTTTACTTCTCAAATCTTTCCCAAATCCTTACTGGCTTCTTCATCTTCTCTAAGTTCATCCTTCCTCCAATTTGCGCTTGTTGCAACATCAACTTCTTCTCTTCTTTTGAGTTTCTCAACAACGATGGCTAAAATATTTAAAACCGTTCCTCAGAAAGAAAAATCCTCCTCATCATCGCGGCCGGTCGGTGGTAGAACGACGGTGCCACCTTGTATCGAGAAGTGTATTCCTAGGCCATGCGAGCTATCTTCTGATTTCAAAATCGATAAGCCTGCATCAGTTCTAGGCCGATGCGAGCCCATGTCCCGATACATCTGCTCGATAACTGAAGACGATCTTGAGCAGGTGAAAAAGGATTGCAAATGGGAGGATAAGGAGGTGGTGATTCCTTCCCCTGAAGAGGACATCACCACTCATGTGGAAGGATACTTAAGCGTGTATGCTTATTCTTTCACACTGGGTCATGTAGATCCGGTCATTCTCGATTTCTTTCACCAATATCGGGTGACCCTTGGCCAGATCTACCCTTCTTTCTGGCGCATCGTCAATTTGCTCAGGTATTTTTCGGGCAAGGTCAAGGGGATGTCTTTTACCCTCGACCACCTGATTAGGCTATACAGCCCTCGCCTCTATCGAGGTGGTTTGATAAAGCTCCAGCGTCGATCCACGAAGGCACTATTCTCTAGCATCGATGAGGACAAGGACCGAGGATGGATGAGCCGGTTTGTCCGAATCAAGACCTCCGACTTAATTCCCCCCGAAAGGATGCCATTCTCGAGGAATGGAACATGAAACGTAAGTATAACCCCATCGATGATGCTTACTACTCCGCTTTCTCTATTCTTCTTCGATCTAATTCATTTTCGATGGTACAACTTCCCCTTGGTTTCTTGGTGCGATTCCGGATCTCGCAGGTTGGGTTCGACAACTGGCCTCCACTTCTTCACATGCAGAACACTGTTGGCGTGATTTGGCCAAGGGTCGGTGGGAAGCTAAAAACCATGGTGAGTTCCCTTGTTCATATGTTGACGCTTCTCTGTAAAATACTTACTTTCCCCTTACGCAGGCTTGGAGACACTGTTGTTATGAGGCCGTCACCGCCTGGTGAAGAGAAAATCCCGAAGCCAACCAAACAGAAGAAAAGAAAAAGGGCTTCGCCAACAAGTTCCCCGAAGCCCAAGAAAAATAAGGCTCGAAAGCCTAGGGCCGATCCTGCAGCCCTATCTGCAGAAGCGGTCCAACACCTTCGGGATGACGAGGAAGAAGGAGAGGATGTCGACTGCTTGCTGGTAGCTCGGAAGAGGGGGAGCACTGAAGCTTCGAAGGCCGCTGAACCGGCAGCGGCTGACGCAGTTCAATCTCGAACCGAAGAAATCTCTGAGGGGAGCTCGAGCAGAGTCCCCGAGAGCCATCGGGCGGTAAAAGCATACCTCGTCTTGAAGGACATCTGGCGGGTGAACCCGAAGAGCCTAATTTTGAGTCCCTCCAAAGAGAAGAGAATGTCCCAAGTGAATCACTTGGGATAATTAACATAGATTAATCGCCGCCTGGCCCTGTGTTCTCCGAAGGGCAGTTCCGAGATGCCCGGGCCATAAAGACTCCCGACATGGGGACGACCCACGAAGGGAATGATATTTTCTGGGAATGTTTTGCGGGGGTCGATGATGGTCCCGACCCGGATGCTTCGTTTATTTTTGACGAGGCTTAGCGTCTTCTTAAACAAGTAAGTTTCTACCTCCATAATTATGTTTGTGCTTTATTCTCATTTTTCTGAGTCTGACTTTTTTCCTTTGTGGAAGGCTGTGACGCTCCATCGATAAGCATTCTCCAAGTCTCGAGCCGAGCTTTCCTGATCTGAGGCCAAAATCAAGAAGCTCATGGAAGAGAGGGACGACCTTAAACTCCTCTACGTTCAAAAAGTGGAGGAGATCAGGGACCTTCTAGCCGACTTGATGAAGGCTCATCGAGAATAGACCGAGCTCATTGAGCAGGTAATGTAACTTTTTGGGAGTTTGTTATGTATTTATTTGACTTAGCGACAAACATTTCGACTTTGCAGGCCCAGCAAAAGGGCGAGCTGGTAGAACAGTTTCGAGAGGAGGTCAAGGCGAAGAGGCCGAGACCCTAGGGTGGAAGCAGCATATGGATCGTCTTGCTTTGGAGAAGGACACGCTTCGGGCCCAGTTGGCTTCGGTCGAATGTCAACTTCAAAATGTGAAGGTGGAAAGCTTGGCCCGGAGACGGAAGATTGAGGAGCTTGAAGCTAAGTCAGCCACCGAACTTGCAAAGGCTAAATCTAAGGGGGAAGCGTTTGTGGCTTCTTATCGAGCTGACGCCGAGGCTGCCAACATTCGGGTGTCGCGCCCCCTTTTTTCCCCCTCGCGGAGAAAGGTCCGGGTTTCGACATTTTCATGGGGGAATAACTCTTTTCCTTTTGGGAATTGGGTTTTTAAAGAGTCGCCACCTAACGAATTATGGTGCGTTAGGGCACCTTGAGAAATTAACTCATGGACTAGTTTGCATTACGAGAGATTTAGGGTAAGGGCTCGAGATAACCTTGAGGGGAAGGTGTTAGGCACCCCTCGCGGTCCACAACGCTGGGTCCCGGCCGAACTTATATTCATGTGAATTAGTCAAATAAATAGATAAACAGTTTTACCACGCACTTGCAAGTAAAGGCTTGTTTTGACATTCAAGTAATGAAACAAGGAAAAGGGTTTGAACAGGTTGCACATATATAAAGAAAAGTAAATTCATTTAAATAACGGGAGTTAGGAAAGGAGTCCTAGGTTGGTTAGCCTACGAGATCATACCCACACAATGACCGATAATCACTCCTCAATGAGGGGCTACACGTGGCATTAGCGCGTAGTCATCATATCCTTACTAACCAATTCCCTCCCCTTGGTCATAGCCTAAAGCATTCTAATAACCTTGAAAGATATCCTATGTGTGCACTACCCGTCCCTTCCTTGTGGCCCTGGAGGTATTTAGAACCTCTAATTTTGGGTAGTTCTAGACCATCCTAAGGTGTTTAAAGGAGAAAACGCGTCAAACAAAACAAGTAGGACTGTATTTCAAAAAAGAAACAACTAAAGGCTCACATTTACCTCCACAAACATAACAAACAAATGCACGTCTCAGACGATTGTTTTTAAGTATTTGAGAGAAAACCTTAGAACATGATATCTAGGTGAGCTGAGAGTATACAGTATTGAATTAGGAACAAAACGTGAAAGAACTGAGTCCATTTGCCTACTGACTTTAAACTTGCTGAGTATGAGCAATCGCAGATAGCAGAATATGGTTTTACAGTTGCAGAATTTTAATAGTCCTATAGGCTTGCCTAGGCGTACAACAGTGATGTCTTATGAGCATGATATCTATGTTGATTAGGAATGCAGTAAAACAGTAAAACGATTTTCAAACGAAAACTTGAGATCTTATAGGCATGCTTTCTATCAGTATTAATTTAAAGCAGTATTTGAAGACTTATTTAAAGAAGCGGACAGACTAATAGAATTAAACCAATTCAGAATAAACAAACGTAGATTAAACTGATTTATTTAACTAAGCTGATTTTAAGTTC